CTCGTTAATAGATTTGTCTCACACTCTTGTGCTCTATACGAACATCTAGACCGTGGGCCGCAACTGCTAAGCTGATCGTTAAAGTTGCTGTATTTTCTCCCCAACAGATTTGTATCGCACTCTTGTGCTCTGTACGAACATCTAATCCGTGTGCCGCAACTGCTAAGCTGATCGTTAAAGTTACTGTATTTTCTCCCCAACAGATTTGTATCGCACTCTTGTGCTCTGTACGAACATCTAATCCGTGTGCCGCAACTGCTAAGCTGATCGTTAAAGTTACTGTATTTTCTCCCCAACAGATTTGTATCGCACTCTTGTGCTCTGTATGAGCGTCTAATCCGTGTGCCGCTACTGCTAAGTTAATCGTTAAAGTTCTTGTCTCTTATATGTTGTAGTATGATCAATCGTAAAGGTAAAGTAGTATTTTTGTTTGTTTGTTTTAATGAAAAATATTATCATTTCCAATTGAAAGAGCTAACATGAAACATAATTAAAATATTGTCAACAAATTCCAACGATTTTTCAGTTTATGCTGTTATTGATTTTTTTAGTGCAAAACTACAGAAGTTGTGCTCTATCTATCGCGGGGAATCGAACCCTAGATTTTAGCTTTGTAAATCATTAAGCTGGGACCTAATTTATACAAGAACTTTCCTGGTTCTAAAATTTATTTTTATGGTGTTTTTTAAGTACATATTTTGGCAATATATATATGTGTCTATATATATTTAACTGAAAGATACCATGTTTACTGAATACTTTTGCTCTCTTGTATGGGGATAACTTAGTATCTGTGTACTTATTCGTATGAGACACCTTTATCCCTAACCTGTTGCATGTATAACAACCTGCTAAGACTTTGTGAAATAAAAAATGACAAATGGAGTAAATATAAGACGAAAAAGACACATCCGTATGAAATATTCCGCTCAGTGCGGCCTACCTGGCGGTTGTGCAGTCTCGGTATAGAGTGTCGAAGTTTTTACAGGACAGCAGCTTACAGCGGTTCACGCCGGGCTGAATGGCTCCTAGGCCCCGCAAGATCCTGACCTGCTCCACGTTACATACGATTGGGGTGATGTCCAGCCGCTTCAATTTGGTGTACACTGTGTGTAGTCCTCCGACCAGGTGTTTCAGGAACAGTTCAAAAGCCTGTGGTAGACACAGCAAGTATTCGTCATTCGCTCGGAATGCGGCCACTTTGGCACCGCGGTAATCGATCAGACGACACTCGTGGGCCGAGTCCGCAGGGATCCCCGGAGGAGAACCTGTGTGTACTGGGCGATCTGATCGACCACCACTACCTCCACCGTACCCATAGTTGCCTGGCATAAGGGACCAGGGCATTCCTGTAACGGTTACACCAGCTGAAGTGTGGGGGATATCAAACCCTGACTTCATTCCCGCACCTACCATCCCGGCCACCGTTGAAGCAAGGGAAGCGGGTGTAAATTGACGGATAGCTAGATCTGGGAGCAGGTTGCAGCCAGGTGGGCTTGTCGGGGACGGGCTAGAGCCTGACCCCTGACCAGGTGAAGCTACTCCGTTTAGATGACCTGGCGCATGAGAGTCGCCAGATGCGAGAGAGTGAGGTTGTGCTGAAGGAGAAGTGGAAGAGTGACCAGCACGAGGACTTGCTCTTTCCGAGCTGACACACACAGTTCCTGGACTCATGCTACTTTCTGAAGGTTAGGCTTGGATTCAGATAAGGAGACAGTCCCAGTTCCGGCTGTAGCCTCCATCTCAGTTCTACATTAATGGGGCGCTTAACATACCTTAATCACAACAGTGTCTCGTGCAGTCCATCGTACTTTCTTAGTGTACGCAAGGACACCTCACGAGCTCCAGTCTCGATATGCTCGTGCCCCGCCACTCACAGCCTTCAAACGTCAAAGCCTGTGGCTCCCAACGCAACTGATTCGCCGCGCGAATTAGCGATAAAGCGTCAAGACAGAGCATAAAGTTGTAGCAACTGGATGGACTATTACTTGAAGTGTAGCTTTCCTCGACACTAGCGCGAGCTTGCCAACGCCTCTCTGTGCCGGGGGCGCTCTCCCACAGTTGACGACCAATGCGCGTGCTTGTTTAGAATATAGGAAAGAAATCTGCCTGTCACACATCTGGATTTATATAGACACATATTTAGATTTAAAGTAGGTGGTACTGTTGCATGCAACTATAGCATGAGCTGCAAAGCGATTTCATTTTCAGTCACACTTCAGGAACTGTTGCACTGCTAGGTAACGTTCGATTTAATTCAAAACCATAATGCTGAGTTAAAAAGCTCATAAAGTTTACTAGCATCTAAGAGAAAAAGGCCAATATAGCACATTTTATTCAACCCCATGACAGATTGTGTTTCTGATTATGTTCACGTGATCAGTAGCCTTTATATAGTCTTCTAATACTTGATATAATAATAATCGAATTCCTAACGTACTGAAATAAACACATAAGTGTATATAAAATATTTTTTTTTTGCAGTTAGAATTTTCAAAAGACTTAGGGCCACCGTCAGTTATTCTGGGTCCGGGATAACCATGTACATACATATGGGTCCCATAATATCAGTTAACCTTAAAATGCAACTTTCCGAGTCTTTTTTTTTTTCATGGCAAAGTTTTTAATGCACTCTTTATGCATGTTACCTTATTTCTTTCTTTGTTTTTGTACGGACCCCCTGATAACCCCGGGCCCGGGGGTAGTCCCCCCTTTTCGGCGGTCCTGAAAAGACGTGAAAATTGTAATGAATCCTGTCATCACCTAAATTTGTCGCAAACAGATGTAGCCAGTTTGTAATTTCGTTTTGTTTTTGAAAGACAACAAAACATCGTGTAAAATTCATCAACTTGTATTAACAACCACGTTGAAGAGTACAGTACAGGGTTTTCTCTGCACATATTCCTGGCTAGTGGTTAACATACATATATATATATACACACATGTGCGTGAAATGTTTGTTAATGGGTAATAATTTATGTGCTGTATTCAATTTTTTAAATGTGTAACAATTATGAATAGTCAATATGTCACTTGCATCAAATACTGTAATTACTTTTGCCCTCTTTCTCTGTGGAAGATCGATACAATAAAAAAATCAACAGGCTTCACTTGCATCAAATACTGAAATTACTTTTGCCCTCTTTCTCTGTGCCTGTTGATTTTTTTATTGTATCGATCTTCCTTCAAATTATTCCAGCATAACCTTACTAGAACTGGTTTTCATCTGATCATACCTGACAGTGTAATATTATTCCAGCATAACCTTACTAGAACTGGTTTTCATCTGATCATACCTGACAGTGTAATATTATTCCAGCATAACCTTATTAGAACTGTAACTTTTTGAAATTCACCTTTTTAACGCTCTTTTTTTAATACATCAGATTAGGATGAGTCTTCATACAACATCAGAATAGAATGAGTCTTCGTTTTGAGTCAACTCTTCGGTTTCCGCTTACGTCATCTGGCTTATTGATTTAACTTGTTCCGGAAATCGGATCTGGCCTAATACAAACAGTTCTTGAAAACCAACGGTCCTGTTTCGGCCTAGTGTGTAAAATGACATTTTGTTATACTTGGAACTATCTACATACACTTGTGTGCGTAAAGAGAGCGAAGCGGTGATGAATAACTGAGGTGGAGAAGAGAAAAGTCAATAATGATTAGTGAAAACGGAGCGATTTCTGCAGGGTAAATATACACGCGAAGTTATCAGCAACGCACACGTATGCCTTATGGCCAGCTGTGGTCCCTATAACAGCTGCCAGTACGGCCGATCTAAAGGCTGCTGAAGATAAAATATTACTCCCCCCACTTCTTGAATCCTTCTTTTAGCTGTACTCCGATAAAGAACATCTAGCATGTAAAAGGAAGTCAATTGTTCACACAGAGAAAATCCAATGTTTTTGACAGATTTAAAGTACGTTTGGAGTGGTTATGAAGTACACGTGCTTTTTACGTTAGTGGAGAAGGAACTGACACCCACCTGCGAGCTGCTTATGCTTTGTTAATATTGTTAAGTTTGAATGAATACAACCTTTTTTAATAGACATTCTATTTCATCGACATACTTCAGATTTTTTTGAGCATTTAAAACTAACGTATGATTACAAAATACACAATAGGGAAATATGAGGAAAATCGATACAATAAAAAAATCAACAGGTACAGAGAAAGAGGGCAAAAATAATTTCAGTATTTGATGCAATTGAAGGAAGATCGATACAATAAAAAAATCAACAGGCACAGAGAAAGAGGGCAAAAATAATTTCAGTATTTGATGCAATTGAAGGAAGATCGATACAATAAAAAAATCAACAGGCACAGAGAAAGAGGGCAAAAGTAATTACAGTATTTGATGCAGTTGAAGGAAGATCGATACAATAAAAAAAATCAACAGGCACAGAGAAAGAGGGCAAAAGTAATTTCAGTATTTGATGCACATTACACTGTACTGTCAGGTATGATCAGATGAAAACCAGTTCTAATAAGGTTATGCTGGAATAATATTACACTGTACTGTCAGGTATGATCAGATGAAAACCAGTTCTAATAAGGTTATGATAGAATAATATTACACTGTACTGTCAGATATGATCAGATGAAAACCAGTTCTAGTAAGGTTATGATGGATTAATATTACACTGTACTGTCAGGTATGATCAGATGAAAACCAGTTCTAATAAGGTTATGCTGGAATAATATTACACTGTACTGTCAGGTATGATCAGATGAAAACCAGTTCTAATAAGGTTATGATGGATTAATATTACACTGTACTGTCAGGTATGATCAGATGAAAACCAGTTCTAGTAAGGTTATGATGGATTAATATTACACTGTACTGTCAGGTATGATCAGATGAAAACCAGTTCTAATAAGGTTATGATGGATTAATATTACACTGTACTGTCAGGTATGATCAGATGAAAACCAGTTCTAATAAGGTTATGATAGAATAATATTACACTGTACTGTCAGATATGATCAGATGAAAAGCAGTTCTAGTAAGGTTATGATGGATTAATATTACACTGTACTGTCAGGTATGATCAGATGATAACCAGTTCTAATAAGGTTATGATGGATTAATATTACAGATGAAAACTATCGATGACCATTGTATGCATTTCTATAATCTATAACAATACTTTAAATTGAACCATAAACGTAAAATCCAGTGATTATAAACGCTGATTAATACCTGCATACTGATCACTTATATAAGCTCTAGCATAACAGTGTTAAGATACTACATGTATTGACCACCTCTATAAATTCCAAACTGGTGGCGTTAGGATACTACATATACTGACCACCACTATAAGTTCTAACCTGGTAGTGTTAGGATACTACATATACTGACCACCACTATAAGTTCTAACCTGGTAGTGTTAGGATACTACATATACTGACCACTTCTATAAGCTCTGACCTGGTAGTGGTAGGATACTACATATACTGACCACTTCTATAAGTTCTAACCTGGTAGCATTAGGATACTACATATACTGATCACCTCCATAAGTTTAATCTTGTAGTATTAGGATACTACATATACTGACCATCTCTTTAAGCTCTAACCTGGTAGTTTTAGGGTATTACCTATACTGACTACCACTGTAAGACCCTAACCAGAACATCAAAAATACCGACTATATTACTTTTCTAAAACAAAACATGATAATGTTAAGGGAAGATATAAGCTGACATCTTCTGTAAATTCTGATCTGGCCATTAATTAATTACGGTTAATTTATTTAGTCTCTTACCTAGCATCATTAATGTCCAGATCAGAAACGGTTAATTTATTTAGTCTCTTACCTAGCATCATTAATTACGGTTAATTTATTCAGTCTCTTACCTAGCATCATGATGCTAGGTAAGAGACTAAATAAATTAACCGTAATTAATGATGCTAGGTAAGAGACTAAATAAATTAACCGTACCATTTATTCTTAGCTTGTGTTAGAACTTGCAGAAGAACGTTTGTATACGAACGTAAAATTTCCTAACAGTTTTTGAGAGACTAAACTTTTAATAAATTGAAATTATCGTTCTTTGAATGTGCCCCTAGGTCAAGGCTTCGATATTATAAAAGAAATTTCAATGTTAATTAAGAAATTGTTTGTTGAATATTAATAAATAGAGTACCGAAATTTGAACATGATTCATTTTATCCAATATTATCAACAGAACAGAACACATGATTACGTTATATAAACAAATTTGAGCTGAAGGGGAGATGAGAGGGAAATCGAATGATTAACTCAACGAAAACGAATGTAAAAATACACATCAAGTTTTATTCGCCTTACTTTTATTGCACCTTTACAGACATCACCACAGATTCAGTTCAATATACACAGATCTATAAAGTCGCTTTAGTGGAGTTCGATTTCCAATGGTTAATTTCACCCTACCAAACAAATAAAATGTGCTCACTTTGTTAATGTTTATTCTTATCGATTGAAACATGTGCTCTGTTTGTAATAATTCATAACTAGCAATATTATGTGTTCTGTTTGCAATAATTCATAATTAGCAATGTTATGTGCTCTGTTTGCAATAATTCATAACTAGCAATATTATGTACTCTGTTTGCAATAATTCATAATTATTAATATTATGTGCTCTGTTTGCAATAATTCATAATTATTAATATTATGTGCTCTGTTTGCAATAATTCATAATTAGCAATATTATGTGCTCTGTTTGCAATAATTCATAATTATTAATATTATGTGCTCTGTTTGCAATAATTCATAATTATTAATATTATGTGCTCTGTTTGCAATAATTCATAATTATTAATATTATGTGCTCTGTTTGCAATAATTCATAATTAGCAATATTATGTGCTCTGTTTGCAATAATTCATAACTAGCAATATTATGTGCTCTGTTTGCAATAATTCATAATTATTAATATTATGTGCTCTGTTTGCAATAATTCATAATTATCAATATTATGTGCTCTGTTTGCAATAATTCATAATTATTAATATTATGTGCTCTGTTTGCAATAATTCATAATTATCAATACAATATTATGTGCTCTGTTTGTAATAATTCATAATTATCAATATTATGTGCTCTGTTTGCAATAATTCATAATTATCAATATTATGTGCTCTGTTTGCAATAATTCATAATTATTAATACTATGTGCTCTGTTTGCAATAATTCATATAATGAGCAATATTAGTGGAAAGATGGTCGTTGTCTTATTGTAGTTAGCACATTTACTAATGGAGATAATTCTACAAAGACTTGTGAATTAAATGTAACTAAATACAGGTTGTATTTTATAGTTATAGCGAAGATACTAAAGCTATCTGCCGCATTCCTTTCCACCAATCAGCGACTCTAAGGTGTTGACTAACACTCTTATAACACATCAACGGCTTAAATTATGTGGAATTATTTTGTGATAACGCACGGATTTGAACTCAGTTCGCTAGCTACGAAATCCAAATACCACAAGATAAGCCCGCGCCCTCGTATTCTTAATAAAAGGCTTCGTTAATTGAAACAACCATTGGTGTCTAGCCATGAAATTAGATACAGTTCTTATTTTTTTTAAATTAACTTTCTTTCTGTCAGGTTTCTTTCTGCGTTTTGTCTATTCACATAATGGTCGGTTTCGATGTCTCAGCTGACAGTTTGACTTGAAGCCCATTGTGACATGTAAATATATATAAAATAAGAACTCGTTGCTTGCTTGAAAACTATATCCAGGCATTTACATTTGTGCAAAATACTATACATCATACTTAACAGTACCCGCCATGTTTCTAGTCACATCAATCATCCTTTAGTTAAATAAATGCAGTCAGTTTAAGCCTAGTTATGTTTAAAAATAGATCTCAAAGCTACTAAAAAACACAAACATTTGTTCAAAAGTAACACAAATAACGAACATATACGTCTACAGTGACCAGACTTTGGATACACATCTTTCCTTATTGCAATTCAACCATTTTTTTTAGATGTTAACCAAATATTTATTTATAATATTAATATAGTTAAAAACATATTTTTTTATCAGATGTCGTTGTTTATTTATATCCTCTTCTATTCTGGCACATTTGTGAGAATCTGTTACTTCATGGCAAACATTGCTATCAGCATTAAAGGTAATGAATAAACCAAAAATATTAATTTCATACTTGAATAAAATGTTAGTAGATATCATCATATAACAACAACAATTCAGCGCGATGGTTGATTAACAGATTTTTGTATATTCCTTTCACTATTATCAGTCTGGAACAGAACTTAAAACATAATGTTTTGTGCACCAACATTACGAAGAAACACATTTTCTATTATCAGTTTTGGTGCAGTATTTTCATACTTGTTGTATTTTGTGCATGTGTTGTTGTTTTTTCTCGCTATTTGCGTTATTGTATTAAACTTTCCGTTGTTGGAATATCGAATGGATAACTTCTACGCTAGAGGTCACTAGCATACAAGACAGCTTCGTCTGGTTTTACAGCCTTAACCAACTTCACGTTTAGGATTTCCAGACATTTAATAAAGACGTTTTATAACAAATTTTAAAATGTATATCTTAAGTTGATAAATCATTAAGAATACAGCAATAAAATCTTAATAGACAAATTTCTCTATACGTAAATGTTCAGTAAAGGCTAAAAGGTACTATTTTCACTACGGTTTGTCAAACACGTACAAATAGTTTGTGATCCTCACCAATTATTTAGGGTTATCTGTATAAATAACTATGTCAAATAAGAAATATAAAAAAGATTGGGAGTCGTGTTCTTTTGGTATGCAACTGCAATTTATGAGACAACTTGGTGTCGAGTCTAACTTGTATATTATTACTATAGGTTCAAAACAGATTGGTTTCTAGAGTATATTGTATGTAACAAAAATGCAAAACAACTTGTTGTCGAGTTTATTTTCTATATAACCACAAGCTCAAAATAGGTAGGTCAACCCGGGTGTCGAGTTCAAATTGTTTATAACCAAAAGTTCAAAACAGATTGGTGTAGAGATTATATTTTATATAATTACAGGTTCAAAAGAACTGTGTGTTGCGTATATAATGTGCATAACCACAAGTTTAAAACCGGGTGGTGTCTGGTTTATGTTGTTCGTAACCCAAACTTTAGAATTCTCTGGTATCGAGTATACCTTACTTAAAATTAACAGTTCAAAGCAGCTTGGTTTAAAGCCTGCCCCATACTCAACCAAATGTTCAAAATAACTTTATGTCGATTATATTTTGTATATTTACCTAAGAGTTTAAAACGGTCCCCTGATGACTGTTTTGAAATTTACTAAATAATTACAAACAGCGACCAAGCAAAGCTCTTCCACGCAACACCATTAAAACATGAGTTCTCTTGCATTGTAAGTGTCTGTGTATATATATATGTATGAAACGTGTTTTGTGGCGGGTAACATCTGTTTTCTTTTTCTTTTTTTGAAGCGCGTATTTCGTTTATATTAAAGTATGACAGACTAACTAATCGTTTCGTTTCTCAGGCGTTTCAAAACACTTGCTTACTGACAAACAGTGGTAAGAAGTCAATCAAGTCTGTTATACCTGAACGAGCTAGAACCACGCAGCTTGTGTTCTAAAGGCGTTTTGAACATCATACAACCTTAGATCGTTCGATATCTTTTCAATACTTTTTCTATATGCCTGCTGGTTCTCTTTGGGCAATTAACAACTAAATGTTTCGAAGATCCAACCGCTAAGAAAAATAAAACAAACTCTAAAATTTTGCTATCGTATCGTGAAGCTGGTATTTCGATATCTTTATTTGAGATTCCTTCTTGGAATTAACACTTTTCCCTCGCAAGGTAATTACAATATTTTAAATACCTCGAGATACTCCCCAGTTTTCTGATCTAACAAAGAAGATAATCTGCCCACCCCAACCTGTCTTTAGCTTATGGAGCTCGAATCAGTCTAGTTTTAAAAAAGGAAATATATTTCTATACAGATTAGCTGCTTTCACACAGCTGATCAATAAAGTTTAAATGTAAATTGCTCTTTTTGCACCACGTAAGCTGACCAATGATGTTTCTTACGGAAATTGTTCGTTTTACACCATGTAAGCTGGTTAATGCTTTCCATCAATGGAAATGCCCCCCTGATGAAATAGTGGTAAGTTTGCAGACTTACAACACTGAGTTCGATTCCTGCGGTGAACACAACAGATAGCCCAATGTGGCTTTGCTCTAAAAACAAACACACAAATATAGATCAAGCGAAATTATTCACTTTACTGATCAAAGTTGTTGTTATTTATAGTGTTCTTTTCACACTATATAATATTATCAGTGAGGTACTGTTAATGATACTTGCTATCTCTCAGCATGTAAACTGATTACCGGAATTCTACCAATGAAAATTAGCCGGTTTAACACCATGTAGCTGATCAGTGGTGTTTTATAAATGGAATGTTTTTCACACCATGTAAATTGATCAATGAAGTAATGATAATGAAACTCAACTACTTTCACACAGCTGATCAGTAAGATTTTGTCAATGGACTTCGCTATTTTCAAATCGTTTAAATTAATCAGTGGAATTCAAAAAATAAACAATGTCTGATTTTACGACTTGTAGCTGCTAATCATGAGGTTTACAAAAAACCTATGTCTGTTTTCACACACTGTAGCTGCTGATCAGTGAGGTTTAATAAAAACCTATGTCTGTTTTTACACATTGTAGCTCCTGGTCAGTGAGGTTTAGTAGAAACCTATGTATGTTTTCACACACCGTAGCTGCTGATCAGTGAGGTTTAGTAGAAACCTATGTCTGTTTTCACACACTGTAGCTGCTGATCAGTAAGGTTTAGTAGAAACCTATGTCTGTTTTTACACATTGTGGCTGCTGATCAGTGAGGTTTAGTAAAAACCTATGTCTGTTTTTACACACAGTAGCTGCTGATCAGTAAGGTTTAGTAGAAACCTATGTCTGTTTTTACACACAGTAGCTGCTGATCAGTAAGGTTTAGTAGAAACCTATGTCTGTTTTCACACACAGTAGCTGCTCATAAGTGTAATTTTTGCTAGATCAGTGAAGTTTTTGTTACAAAACTGTATATATTTCCAATCTTATAAATGCTAATCAATGAGGTTTTGCTAGAAAACTGTTTACTTCCCAATCTTGTAACTGCTGATCAGTAAGGTTTAGCCAGAAAACTGTGACTTTTTGAACTTTAACCCTGTCTATACCCGTGTCTGAAAGAAACACAAACTTATTAATTTTCTAAAGGCTTTACACGATAATTGTCAAAAGATGAGACTCGTTCGAAACGAACTACAATCGTGTGGCCACTACCAAGTGATTGGGTAAAAGATTTTACGTAGATTCTGCTAAAAGCTTTTTCATACCACCAAACGAAATTACGTTTCACTGATTGTCAAATGGCGCTGTATAGGCAGGATTTTTGAATTATCAGCAAAAGATTGTTTTCACCTAAAGAGGACAACTGGTTATAGAAAGTAAAGCATGTCTATATGTTGATTAGAAATGGAGTTTAAAATATTGACCCTGGATTGTGTTATCCTCTGAAAGAAATTGTAATAATAAGATTGTCATTGTGTTTAAAAATTATCTTATATGTTATTTACGCTGCACGTATAAGTAAATCTATATTTCATTTTTAAGTATATGCAATGAATAAAATATTCTCTATTGTTTACGCACCTGAGTTATAACAATATTTTTTCTTTTTCAGAATTTGTAATGCATTAGTGGAGAGATTTAGACATTTTGGAAATAAAGTTAGAAAAAAAAAGACCTTTATTCTCCAGATAATGATTAAAAAACGTATTATTTCAGCTAACCTTGTGGTTTTATCAGGGCTGGTAGTACAATGGCTTATCAAACAAACTAGTGTAATACGATATCTTACGAAACAAAAAAATTTAACTTCTATGTATGTTTCACTTCCTGTCCTATTCGAGACCCGGCCCTGTGGGAGAGCTCTAGATTTCGGAACTGTCGAGCCAGGCTGGAATCTGTGCGATACCACAAAATATTATAAGAGTGACAGTCCTTAGCGTGAGAGGTAGGGTCTTGCTGACTGGCTGGCTACCTTCCTTCTGGTCAGTAGTTCAAAATTAGGGTCGGCTGTAGATAGTCTTTAGTAGCTTTGTTATAAAGACAAATACAACCCTTTCCTATTCCTCTTAGAAAACACTATGTAAAACGTAATTTCTTGTTTCTTTCTTTCAAAGGTTTCGCACATAACTACTAAAAAGCCGGAGGGGGTAGGCTAAAGGGGAGGTAGCTACAGCTCTTGGACTGCTTTTGTTTGACCGAATAGTGAAATTTGGCTTGACATTCTTATAGCGCATACGTAACCCCCAACGTATGGAGCGTGTTTTTTTGCTATGTCGATCCGCGAATCTGGAATCCTTGAATTCACAATCCGAGTACGCTAATTAATAGGCCACGCCCAGCCGACGCGATTTTTTATTAAAAACATTAGGCCTAATGTACCTCTCCTTGTTCCGTGGCGAGTTTAGCAAATATATGCTAGTTATTCGTTTAATTCAACTAACATATGCGAAAGACAAAAACATGCAATACAAAGAGAAGTTTGGGTTAAGATTGGCGAAATGCTGTTTACGTTTTGTTTAAACCTGGACTGCTATATGATATAATAACGCCTCAAACCATTCAATTCAAAACATGCCATATATTATAAAATTAACCAAACCTACCTCAAAGTTAAGAAATAAATAGACACAAGCGATTTTAGGTAGAAATGATTTGAACTGTGTGTTTCAACTCAAAAGATGTGTTATAAATTACACCATTAATGTTATACTACACGTTTATTTATACATCTTGAACATTGTTAGGAACATGCGTTCAAGCTCTTTACTATATTCTAACAATTAATCGTACCTTATCTTTGTATAACCAGCTGGACAATTATTAATATTCACTCTAGCTGTTAAGAGACAATGAAGCGTCGCCACCTAGATGAATTGTACACAGAATAACGATAGATCTTGGGAATGATCTGTTTCTGAATGTGTGGTTTAAAATAACCTTAAAATAGGTTTCTACGCTTATCGTTTTACGCTCAGAAACAATAATGAATGAGGGTTAGTCAAAGTATGTTCAAGTATGCTGGTGCTGCCATCTGTCAATGGACTGTTGACTCTTTTGTTATCGGGAGAAAGCTTTTCAAACAACAAAAGTTTACCTTTTGATAAAAATATTTATGAATAAAAAAAACACACATTTTATTGGAATGATTGTAAACAAAGCTTAATATAATCATTTGTGTTCTATAACTTGAGTTGTCTAGTCGAACGTTAGAAATTATGACGTTGTTCGAAAGGTGTTGAAATATCCACACATTTTTGTGACTTCTCTCTGATTTGTGGATCTAAACAGCTTAGGTGCAAAATTCAGTTAAAATGTTTTATCATATAAGTTCATTCTAACGACGCAGTCGCATATACCAGTTTTCGTATTTAAACGAAAAGTGATTTTTATCGTTATAAGCCATCAAACTCACTGCTGAGCCACCAGAAGGCGCATACTTCAGAATTCTTCTATTTCGATGAGACCGTGCAGAGGTTCTAAATTTTTAACACACACGCAGTGTCAAGTTTACTGTAACATACAATTCTGCCGTATTAGAGCGATGGTCTACACTTGGATAAATTTGCCCGATAAAAATAGTTCAATTTAGTCTTAGGATGATAATGGATGTTGTATAATGACGTGTAATGCAGCTATTTGTCAGCAATATTTCGTACGCGTTCTTTATGTGAATGTACTAAATACAGTTGAAGAAATATTCGAATGCGAAGTTACATGTAGGCTAAGCTACTGTTTATTCTGGATTATCTCACTTTCGGTCAAATAATCTAACGTTTCCATTGTTTGAGAGGTGAAAAACGTGTCATTGCTCTTATCAAGTACACGTCTATTATTCAAATAAAAAATACATCGATAAGTAGTTTATAAAGATATATTACCTTCCCAAATTAAGACATGACACTTTCTCTACTCCATATCCCTGCAGCGATATAGTTTCGATTTTTTTTCAGCACCAAGTTTATTTGTTTGGTTCTTGAATTTCGCGCAAAGCGACACGAGGGTTACATGTGATCTGGACTTTAATTTTGAAGTAATAGACTGCAGAGAAAGGAACTAGCCAACAGCACTCACTGCCAATTTGCGAGCTACTCTTGTAGTAGGAGATGACTGTCACTCTTGGTAAGATCTCTGTTGAAAGAGATATATCAACTTTTCTAATGAAATATTGAAAGTAATGGAACGACTGAGTAGTGTATCTTAATCACAATCCTGATTATTAGGGCGCTCGAGTCGCAATTTGCGGATTGAAAACCCGTCGCCGAATATACTTGCCTTAACAGCCGTGAGGGGGTTATGGGCGTTATAATGTTACGTTCAATCCAATTATTCGCTGATAAAGAGTAGCCCAAGAATTGGCGGTGGATGGTATTGACTAGTTGCCTTCTCTCTAGCCCCCAACTTCAAAATTGGGGACAGCTAACGCTGACAGCCCACGAATAGGTTGACAGTAAAACAAATAAAATATACCCATGATGGCATAGAAGTAATGTTATATGTATATTATATAGAACTGTAAGACAGAAAATGTTCAAAACTGATTTTTTCAGATGGTTTATAATTACAGGATATCCAGGACTTTCCTCAATACGTTAAAGTGTTTACAGTTGAAGGTGAAGAAGACGCTGTGAATGTTTTCCACGTGAATCGTATTATTGTTTTGGACATTGTTTGTAATGTATTCGTAAATTGTTTTCCACCGTTCCTAGCCCTGAAATTATCTTTCATTTATTTGGTACTACTGAAAGGCACATATAACATCCTCGTAATTTCGAAACTCAAAAACAAAGTTTCCGGGATACACATTATGTATATTTTCAATGACTTTATCACGTTTTTATTAATTTGCGTTTAACTGAACTGTACCCAAATCTCCAGTTTCAGTAGTATTCAAATAATGCCGTTACTGACAAAACTTTTAAAGAAGAATAACAACACAAACAGTATAAAAGAAAGAACACTACTGCGTGTAATATATATATATATATATATATCAAACAATCAGACAGAAAATAACTAAAACAATCAGACCATTTAACGACATATGGTTTTTATTTATTTCCATCGAAGCTGGAAGTTACAACAGGTCCTGACAAGTGTGGGCTACAATGTTTGCCGTTACCCATGAGACAGTATTTAACGTCACTGCTTACCTTTATAATTTCTGTTCAAGTTGGGCGATACAACAGGTCCTGCCATGTATAGGCTACAATGTTTGCTGTTACCCATGAGTCAGTATTTAACGTCACTGCTTACCTTTATTCATTTCTGTTCAAGTTGGGCGATACAACAGGTCCTGCCATGTATAGGCTACAATGTTTGCTGTTACTCATGAGTCAGTATCTAACGTCACTGCTTACCTTTATTCATTTCTGTTCAAGTTGGGCGATACAACAGGTCCTGCCATGTATAGGCTACAATGTTTGCT